AACATTTTATCCTGAGCCCACTTCTCTTTCCCCTGTATTCTATCTCAGTGATTTCAGATCCCATGAGTTTAATCATGTCTTCATGGGTGCCTCACAGATCTATACATTCAGTTCCAGTATCTCTTTTGAGTTCCATCTTACATGACCAACTTCCTATTAGACGTTTTGAACTGGATGGTCTTTAGGCACGTTAAACAATGTTTCCAGAGCAGAACTCATTATCTTTTTGGTCAAAACAACCTTTCTTCTAAACTTTCTTATTTCAGTTTCACTTTTGTAACCTTGGTGCTCTCTTTTACTTCTCTCTCTCTTACCCTTTCCAACAGCCAAATCTTGTTACATTTGACCCCTTTTCTCTTCTTGTATAGCCACCACCATGGTTTATTGCTTCTGGCAGGACAATATGGTCTTTCAAATTGGATTCACTGCTTCAAGTCTCTCCCCTTTCCAATCTATCCTACACAAATAGTTTAAATTAATGCTTATTAATTGATTATTAGACTAACAGCAGTGCAATAACATCACCCTGGGAAGCTAGATAGTGCAAGAGGTGGAATGTTGGACCTGGAGTGAGGAAGACTGGAGTTTAAACACTGACACAGACACTTCCAAGGCTATGTAACCACTGGAAAATGGTATAATCTTTTTCAGCCTCATTTTCTTCATCTATAAAATTAGTATAATAAAACCAGTTACCTTCTAGAGTTGTTTTAAAGATCAAATAAGATAACATATGTAACATGTCTTGCAAACCTTGAAACCCTGTACACATGCTAGGTATAACAATTATCATCATATCATCATCATCATTATCATCAGATATTGGAGGCTTTTTTTTTTTTTGGTGAGGCAATTGGGGTTAAGTGACTTGCCTAGGGTCACACAGCTAGTAAGTGTAAAGTATCTGAGGCCAGATTTGAACTCAGGTCCTCCTGACTCCAAGGCTGAGCTCTATCCACTGCACCACCTGGCTGCCCCCAATATTGACAGCTTTGAAGAGTTGGCTCTATACATATACATAGTTGTTACAGATGTTCCTTATGTTTGTTTTCCATACATACTCCCAGGTCCCATGTGTTCTTTGCAAATGTGTCCTGTGAGAGATTATGACATATGCTTCTAGTAATAAATTTCCTCAATAGAGTATTTGCTATGCTGATTTTTCAAAGTTTTTGTTTTAAAGTCATGCGTTCTCTGGCTGGCTGATAAAAATAAACACACATGTGGAAGCATGTGGTCTACAGTGTTAAGCGACTGTTAACCCATAAAGTGTTTCACACTTGAAAGGCAGTGTTTTGTGTTTATTTTTAATCTCACATGTGAAGGGTTATCCCAGGTGCTATATTTAGACTGGGTACATGCCATTGGTGTTTAGAGAAAATCCAAGGTAATTCTTATATCCATGAATAGTTTTATAGATGACTCTATATTTATAATTGTCTTACATATTATATTCTCAATTTATAGATATAATTTTGGGCAGATTTATGTGCATGAATCACAGTCTAGACCCTCCCCTCCCACAAGGAGTTCTGGCTCTGGACTTGTCTATACGATTCATCCTGGTGATGGCCTTAATGCAAAGTTAGGAGGGGGTGGCTTTCTCTATCTTCAGACTTGTTGTCCCCAACCCTGGAGCAACTATAGGAAAACATCTAAAACAAAGTTTAGGTATGGCTTATGTTTAGGTTTTCCTCAAAATGTGTATAATACAATCTCTTCTAGAAAAAGGTATTCAATGTAAAATATGTATACTAAATATAAATTACTATATTTGGCATTTAAAACTGTTTGTAATTTTCACCCTTCTTATATTTCTAATTTTACATTTTACTTCCTCCCACACACTCTACAATCCAACTCTACTGGCCTACTTGTGGTTCCTTAAACACAATACTCCATCTCTTGCCTCTATTTCTTCATACTGGCTTACCTTATACCTAGAATTATCTATCCCCTTACCTATCCTTTTTAGTTTCCTTGGATTCTTCCCAGGCTCAGTTCAAATCCTACCTTGTTGAAGGGCTTTCCCAAACTCCCTGTTGTTGGTACCTTTCCCTCTCAGATTACTTTCTACCTATTCTCTCTCTCTTTGCCCTTCCCTCCCTGCCTCCCTGTCTCTCTTTCTCTCTCACTCTCTTTTTCTTTCTCTCTCCTTTCTCTCTCTCTCTCTCTCTCTGTCTCTCTCTCTCCTTCCTTCCCCTTTTTTGTATACCTGTCTATTTACATGTTGTTTTCCCAATTAAAATGTAAACTCCTTGAAGGCAGGGACAGTTTTTACCTTTCTTTTAATCACCAACATTTAGCACATTGTACTTGGCACATAGTAAGCATTTAAGCTTGACTTAGCTTTAGGGCAATGATTATTTCCTTTACTACAGAAAGACACACACAAACACATACACATAATCTCAAAAGCATGGATAAAGAAACTCAGGAACTAATAAATGGATAATATTGTAGGGAAAAAAGACAACTTTGTGGGCTTGCTAAAAGAGCTGAAACTGCTATTTGACATTTGCCTCTTCTCTGCACTGTCCAAGTGACCCCTGAGAGCTAGACCCCTCCCCGGATGGTGAGGCATGATTGTTTAGGGTTTCATGTTGATGATCATGTTTTTCCAACATGCAAGAGGCATTACGGGAATCACCTCTCATGGGGTATCTGACCCTTAGCTTCAGAACTCTTACACTTCCAAATTCTTTAACTCATAAGATAGCTACCATGTTATATCTGTTTCTCAGGTTGGCATCTATAGACTCATATTCAGAGAAGAAGACACAAGAGGCACATTGAGGGACTTAGGCTTACTTATAATCAAGCACATCTTTTCACTGTCATATGATTATAGCAGATTGCTGCTGGGGTTTTGAGAAGAAAGGAATTTTCCCTTCCCTCTTACTGGAAGTCTAATGGAGAGAAATTCTTGAATTATCCCCTGATTCAGCTAGGTGGCACAGTGGAGAGAGTGCTGGGCCTGAAGTCAGAAATACTCATCTTCATGAGTTCAAATTTGATCTCAGACAATTACTATCTGTGTGACCCTGGGTGAGTCACTTAATCCTGTGTGCCTCAGTTTCCTCATCTGTAAAATGAGTTGGAAAAGGAAATAGAAAACCATTTTAGTCTCTTTGGCAAGAAAACCCCAAATAGGGTCACAAAGAGCAGGACAAGACTGAACCACAACAAACATAACATTCTATTCTAGATAGTCTTCAGGAAACCTAGAGAGGCTCAAGAATTGCTCTTTTGAGCCTTGCACTAAAGTTAACAGGCGCAATTTTAATTGGCTGCTGGGTGTGATGCAAAAACTTCCAGTAAAATTTAAATTGTATATACCATCCATGGCAAAAGATATCAGTTTCAGAGATGAAATATGAAGGGCCCACACTTGGGAGACAGATAGGCAACCACATACTTGATGCCGCACAGCCTCTGCTATCCTTCCATGATGTTCTATGTTGCTTTTCTTTTGGAGAGACACCTTTGTAGCATACATTGTTCTACTGGGCTCACTGGGCCTGCTCTAGGCCTTGAGGTCTGACATCTTCCAAGCAGTGGAATCCCACCCAGTTCCAAAACCCAACCTCTACCTTCTCGTGACTATCCAGGAATGGTAGCCTCATTTTAAACTCCCAGTCTTGCCTATGTAAATGAGTGGGTGGTGAAAAGGCACTGAGACAATCCATACCTAGGAGGAAAGTCCTTGATCCCTGCCAATATCTCAGCTGCTTTTTGTCTATTCACAGTAGGAAATGACTTTTTGTCCTATACCTTTACAAAGTGCTAATAGGCCTGACTGATACCCTTACAATCAGAAATAGACCATAATGTACAACATGGATCCCAAATATAAGTTCTTCTTTCAAAGCCTGACATTATTGCAAAATGCAAATAGGCCATTCAAAGTACATATAAGGTCAAGTTTCAAAGAGGCCTTGCCCCATACTACTACAGATGTTTGTACTAAAGAAGAGATTTCCACGAAAGCCAGTTTGCTCAGTGGCCCTATTTTAAATAACGTTTTTTTTCCCCAATGAAAGTGGAGAATCACTTTTTTCTGAGCACATATTGAATTATAAAAAAAATTTAGCCATAGAGAATCATATCAGGTCAATCTTACTCAAACTCTGCTCTGCACAACACTATATTTAGCAAATATAAAAGATTCCAGAATTTTATGGCTGAAAAGGAAAGTCAGAATGCATCCTGAATCACTTCCCATAGCAATTTGCTGAACACATGTTTATGAGTAACAGATAGTGTTTGTAGATTATGCTCAATAATGAAATATTTATAAGAAAACTATGATTAAAAGCACCACAGCCTCTTTTAGAAATGAAGATCTGAATATATCCCACCTCTAAATACAGATACATTCCTAAAGAGCAATCTGTTTGAATGAAAAAAAAATACAAACTGAAAAACAGATATAAACAATTTCCACTCATTGGTTTTTATACAAGGCAATTTTTTTTGGGGGGAGAAAAAGGTGCAAACTATATTTGGAGGAATATTCTATCTGAAAATTGAGTATGTGGAGGAAGAATTAGATGAATTCTGCACATTTTGAACTAAAAGGGAGATTTGTGAATAAGGAATGGAATTTATGGGGAAGGAGATTTGGGGCAAACATGTGATAATATTCTTAGAGCTGTTGAAAAGACCATAGAATGCTTTCCAAGAGATTATATTTACGGTCACTGGAAGTGTTAAAGAGAGCCAAGAAGATCACTTAGACAGGCATGTTGTAGGGAAATTCCTACATTAGGTGTACGGTTAAACTGTATGGCCTATATGACCCCTTATAAACCAGAGATTTTATGATTTTTTTGAAATATATGATTGTGTCATGGGATAACCCAAATGTAGCCTTAGGATTTTTGGTCTAGGGTGCAGTTAGAAAAATTAATTCATCTATCAATTTATTAATCCATTTTGTTCTGTTCAAAATACATTTCTTTCTCTTAAATTTATCTCACATTTTTTTCTTTCTCTAGAGAAATATAAGCATTCTTCTCAATTTAAAAATTCTGATACTCACAAGACTGTGGTGATTCCTGGTTATAGCAGCTTCCTAATTCTTGAGATTTTGAATGACACGAGTGTTTTAGCTCTTGCTACCATGCCTGTTAAAGTACATGTAGGTATGACGTTTCAAAGCAAATCTTGGTTCCTGTATCACTTTGGGACTATGAATGATTCCTCCATGTGGTCCATTACTACATCCTCCTGTAAACATGTAATCATACATGATGACGTCAACACATCAAGCAACATAGTGAAATATCTTGATCTGGGGTCTGCCTTCAAGTTTAAAATTAAGGTTCTCTCAGGCGTGCCACGCAGTAAGTATGATTTTTTTCTTAAACTCTGTAAATTATGACTTGCAATTTTAGGATTACCTTCTTTTTCTTGATTATGACATGTTCCTCTTGATATTTGGTTTATCATTTTTTACAAAACATGTTAGAGGTTCCTCTGAAGATATTTTTTCTTGTTCTCCTGACAATTTTCTTTTTCTTTCATATCAAATCTTTTATATTTTCAACCTTGACAAACTTTTAAAATGCAGCAAATTTAATAGTGAATTAATCAACATTTTATACTCAGCTCTGAATTGAAAATGTATGCATTTATAATTCCAATCTACATTTACTTAAATTTCAAGTATTTTATGATAATTATTGAAATAACATATACATATGTCCATGTACAAATTCATATGTGTATATTTATAAATATACATACATTTGTATGTTAGTCTAAACTTAATTTTTGTGAGATTGATTAATACATATCATGTATATTTACATATGTATATGTATAATAAACACATACATAGGAAATATATATATACTAAGTTATCCTACATAGAGAAGTTATATTGTCTATATATAAATAATGACATATATAAAATATCTATATATGGATGCATATATGTAAACATATATATGGATTGCATACGTTAATGAGTTGCATATATACCATATGTGGATTATGTATGCATATACACATATATGTGAAAATGAAGTTATGCAGTATATGTACACAGATATATACATATATACATACGTACATACATACATACATATATATACACACACACACACACACACATACACATATATGTATATGTATGATTACCTCCCTTTTCCAATGGGCCCCTACCTCTTTAATAAAGAAGTATAGTTATGGAATATAAAACAAAAGAAATACATCGACCATATCTGCACCTATAAACTATCACCTGTCTGCTTAGATAAGGATGGTGTGCTTCCTTGTTAGTTTTCTGAAGTCACAACTGGTCATTGAATTTATTAGAGTTCTGATTTACTTCAATGGCCCTCACCCTTTACGTTATTGTGGCCATTGTGTACATTGTCCTACTGGTATCAGTTTTTGCAAATATTCCTGAGTCTCTCTGCACTTGTCATATTTATCTAAAAAATAGCCCAGTAGCATTTTATATTGTTACACAAAAAGTTTTTTTCAGACATTTTTCAGTTCAGACATTTACCTTTTTTCTCTTTATATACTATCTCTAAAAGTGCATCTATTTTGGTACACATGGGGACATTCATTCTGCATTTGTTCTAGTAGCAAGATATCTATTAATATTGTCTCTGGGCCAAAGTGTTTTACATTTTGGTGACTTTTTGAGGTTTAATTTTCAATGATTTTCCAAAAAGTTAGACCAACAGAAAAATACTGTGCCTATCCTACCAAGATTCCATCATGGTCCATTTTCATCTTTTGTCATTTTTGCCAGTCTGATGGAGGCGAGGTGAAACTTGAGAATTGTTTTAATTTTTATTTCTCTTATTATTAGTGACTTAGAGCATCCTTTCAAATGATCATTTGTAGTTTGCCTTCCCATATAGAAAAGTGCATAATTATATCTTTTTACCACTTATTCATGAGAGAATTATTATTCTTGTTGTTATTGCTTATCCTTCATTCTCTAAGAGGACCGGTGACATCACAAGAGTGATATCTCCACTTGTTTGTAAAGTGGATTTTAGAGCAGCACATTTAGCTCTGTGACTTTAGGCAAGTCACTTATCTTTTCCTTGTCTCAGTTTTCTCATCTTTAAAATAGGGATAATAATACTCCTTACCTCTTAGGGTTGTTGTGAGGATCAAATGACATAATATTTATAAAGCATTTAGCACAGTTCCTGGCACATACCAGGCATGAGATAAATTATTATTATTAACTTGCAAATGTTCACAGGATGGCAACTCAGATGGGAAAAGGCATACGTATCTGTATCCATTCCCTGTTCAATTTTTAAATTTATGTAATTAAAGATTTTATAATACCTTTTATGATCTTTTCATCTTCTTGTTAGGTTATGAATTGCCCCCCTGCCATAGTTGAATAAGGTGTGTCCTTTTAGTTTCCTCTTATTTTTAAATGATATCACCTTTTGTATTTAAGCTATATTTCCACTTGGAGCTTGTTGTGGCTTGTGGAGTAACACTAGGTCAAAACTAATTTTGTCAGACTGATTCAGATTTCAAATACTTCTTGTTAAATTGGATATGCTTATTCAAATAAGATAATATTTATAAAGCACTTAAAATAGTGTCTGGCACATAGCAAGTGCTTTGTAAATGTTAGGTAGTAGTAGTAGTAGTAGTAGCAGCAACAGCAGCAGCAGCAGTAGTAGTAGTAATTTGTGTTAATTAAAAACTATATTATTTTGGCTAATTATTATTATTATTAACTGTATTATTTGGTTTAATTGAAAATTATGTAGGGGCAGCTAGGTGGCACAGTGGATAGAGCACTGGCCCTGGATTCAGGAGGACCTGAGTTCAAATCCAGCCTCAGACACATAATGCTTACTAGCTGTGTGACCTCGAGCAAATCACTTAATCCCCATTGCCCAACCAAAAAAAAAAAAAAAGAAAACTATATTATTATGTTTCATTGCTTACCTACTATATTCCAATGATAAACTTTTCTGCTTTTAAGTAAAACCAATTTGTTTTCATTTTTGTGTGTCTTTTTTTTCTTATTTAATTTTAATTTTTGGGGTCTAGAATTGGGATTTCATTGGTAAAAGGAGCTCTTCTGGAGGAATTTTCTCTAACAGCATAGTTCAACAACTACTCTGCAATGTCTCCTCTTTGAGAGTTACCTCAGGCACTAAGAGGTTTAATGATTTTTCCAGGTCCCTTAGCCAGTATTTATCATAAGCAGGACTTGAAGACAGGTTTTCTTGACTGAAGCTGGTTCTTGATCCATTGTGCACACTTATTCTTTTTGAGAATTACTGCTGTAAAATATAGTTTGAGGATCTGGTAGTAAAAGACTCTGTCCCTATCTACTTGTTCACTATTCTTTTAAGATTCCTCATTTTGTTTCTCCAAAGAAGGTATCTGGTGGTGCAGTCAATAGAGCCCTGGACCTAGAGTCACCAAACCTGAGTTCAAATCTTATTTCAGACACTTACTAGCTGTTTAACCCTGGAAAAGTCATTTAAGGTCTGTTTACCCCAGTTTCCTCAACAATAAAATGGAGATAATAGTAGTACCTACTTCCCAGGGTTATTGTAGGAATTAAATGAGATAAGTTTTTAAAAAACACCTAATACAGTGCCTGGAACATAGTAGATGCTATATAAGTTCTTCTTTTCCTTCTCCTTCTTCTTTTCTTCCCCCACTCCTTCTCTCTGTTTCCAAACAGGAATGTAATTATTTTGTCTATCTCCACAAAGTAACTCGTGTAGTTTTAATAGTGTGGCACCAAATCTATAGCCTAATTTAGACACAATAATTATTTTATTAAAATGATGCAACTCAACACTAAACAATGAATATCTTTTCAATTATTTAATTGCTCTTTTATATAAAGCATTTTTCTAGTTGTATTTATAAAATACCTTAGTAAAGTTAGGATGCCCTATTCCCTTCTCAATATTTTTCATATTTTTATAACTCTAACAGCGATAAAGCAAGAGAGAAATTAAAGGCATAAACACTGGCAAAGAAGTATAAAAATATTATTGTAATTTGCAAATTACAGGATAGTTTACTCAGAAATCCCTAGATAATCAAGAGAGAAATAATTATTAACTTTGTTAAACCAGTAGGAAACAAAATAAGTTTACAAAATTATTGGCATTTCTAAACAGCAATAATAAAATCCAGGAGTAAACAGCAGAAAGGGAATCCAATTCAAAATATCTAAAAAATCAATAAAATATATTGAAATCAATCTGCCAAGGCCACATTCAAGATATATCAGTACAATTACAAAACTCTTTAAAAGAAATTAAAACTGGTTTAAATAACAGATTCATTGCTCATATTTAGTCCTTATTGACAAAATTGGAAAAGAATTTAGCAGAAATTAGGCTTAGTTTAACATTTTACACAGTATATTGTAATAAGCTAAAACAGAAATTGCAGCTATGGTGAAACTAATATCCTCTGAAGGTTTATTTTAAGGCTCTTTAGCCATAATCTTTTGTAATTTTATGGGGAATTTTATGATATTTATTTATTTCTTCATTCTCTCTATTTGAGATTGATCATGAACATCTTTACCTTGCTTTTTCTTCTGAATTGATCTTGGTTGTGAAATTTCTGGAGACACTGATACCTCACAACAGGGCCAACCATAGATGTGAAGGTCTACTGGCAGCCATTTAAGTCTCTTAGTTCTTAGACTGGAGTAAGGGAGCTAACAAGCCAAGTTGATGATAGTTCCTGGGTCTTACCTCTTTAATGAGTTCAGGAGGGGACCTAAACTAAACTGCAAATTTTTTCATCAATTAGTTTACATTCTTAGTTTTATCAAAGACTGGGTAATTGAACTCAGTCATTTCTGACTTCTGTTTATCTTGTCTGATACACTATTCTACTTTTCTACAGGTTATCCTACCATTTTATAATATAGTTTGAGGTCTGGAAGTTCTATTTCCCCCATCATATCTTCTTTTTTTCAGTATTTCCTTTAAGAACTAGACTTTCCCCCCACCTGAAGTCCTGTGTCTTGCAACAGTTTTCAATGGCTCTGCCAAGTGGATCTAATTTACCAATACTCCTTAGCATTAACTTGGAACATGATGGCTATAAACCAGAACAATGAGGATCAAGTTGCATCCCAAATATGTCTTGCAAAGCTGAGCTCAATAATCAAAGCAAAAATATGGAAGTTCGACAAAAGAGAGAATTTGAGATGTTATATAAAAAGCAAACTAGCAAGCCCATAAAAAAAATCTAGTGATAAACAGAGTATTGGACTTGTAAACAAGTTTGACTCCAAACAAGAAAAGAAAAAAAATGAGTTTTCCAGCAGATAAGTAGTCAAAGGCTATGAATAAATAGTTCT